TTTTAAAAATAGTACATTGCAAAACAAAAAGAACCTATCTCATATTAACACTTTGCGACGCAATCACCTTAGTTCAAATTGCGATCTGATTTGCAATGCACTATTTTCAAAACAAAAGTATAACATAAAATAATTGTCATAATAAATATTACATATATGAAATATAGAATGGGCCCCTCCAACGCTAATTCCCGTGAGAACGCATCCAATATTCTTTTATCGTCTCTCCAAAATTTTTATTTGCATGCGAGATACAGTAACAATTACATGTTACTATATGTTCTATACAATGACAATTATTTAGTAATATTTAACAAATGTTAATTTAACAATTATTGAGCAATATTTAGCAATAAAAGCTTACAAAGATGTGTTAAATAATGAAAAATATTAATTCGGGAAAGGCAATAATTTTTTGTTTTCTAGAATTTTAAATAAATGACGTCTCATGCATTTTACGTCAGTAGAATATTTTTCATTACAAGGATTTCCTTTCAAGGCTACAGTTGTAGCAAAAGCCACAGCATAAATTCCGCAAGAAATGGAATCCCGTTGTTTTATTTGTACTTTTTCACAAATTATATCATATTTCGTTATCTTGGGATAACGAAGGCGAATATATTCTTTCTCTTTAACAGCCAATTTATCATACGTAGTACCAGATAGGCTGTCGTATACATGAAGTTTGGTGCCATTAAAATAAATACATCGCCAATGATCTGTGCAAGTTCCGCCAATAATTTGTAAGCTTTTATTGCTACGACTAGTTTCAATTAAGTGCGGGTATTGTAAGTATAACACACTTTGTGTTTCAAAGCAAGAAGTCTCTCTTACAATGCGTAAAAGTAGATCTAACGATTCATCATTTAATTTATTAGTTATAGACAAAATATTATCCTTCACTAAGCGGAGAGAAGTTATTACATTATCTAACATTTTTTTTTTACTTTTTATGTCATCCTCAGTTAGATCTCGTATATAATAATCAGTTATAATGCAATCGTCATCTTGCTCTGGAACAGCAACAGTGGTAGTAGTGTTCGACAATAATTGTTTGCTAGCTTCAATACTACTTTCTACTTTTATATCTTTTTTTCTAGCTGCTTCTTGTGCTTCGATGATATACTGCGGTTCCCGAATAGGCATTTTTCGTGCTGCTCTACTATCTATTATTTCAGGAACCAAGCAGTCCTCGTAGAATCGTGTAAGCAGCGATAACATTTTTGTTTCCCAAAATCTGTCATCACGCTCGACAATCGTGTACTTCAATCCAAAGGGTGTCCACAAAGCAAAAATGCAATACTTTCTTTGCGTTATGTGGAGTTGTTCCTGCACTTGGAAGTAGTACGCGTGTCTTTGATTCATTTGAGTATTATCTATTTTATCAAATATTGTACGAGTGGAAGCAATCTTATTCAGCATTGCATCGGTGGGAGACACTTGCCGCGCCGCGTAAGGACATTTTATCTCAACGATAGTATCGTCTCCGACAATGCCGTCAGGCGTTGCGGCAAGATATGGGATATTATCATCAATAAATATTCCACAATCATTAATTTTTATTCCCAACTCCACCTGCAATTGCTCTCGTGCCACTATTTCTTTTTCTTTACCCCACTCAACAGCCACATTCGTCAATTGAGGAGGGTACAGAATTGCTTTAACAAGATTTTGACACGAAATTGTTTCTCTTCTACTACAAATTTTTGCAAAGTTTGAAGCAGTGAGAAGATTTCGCCGTACGTTGTGCCACATCGGGTTTTCATGCTGACCCCGTGTAGCACATTCCAATACAACATTATTGCATTGCTGATCTTTTAGCATTCGATAATGATTAGATTTCAACTGTTCGTACATATAACCTTCTATATCTGGTCGTTCCGCATTTGGTCCGTAATTTTTATCGGACATAAATGTTTTAGCAAAATATTTTGATGTACGAACGGAGAGACCTAATTCTTTTGCCGCGTGTATGCGTTCTTGATAAGTTTCAATTTTTTTAATATTTCGATTTTCTACAACATTTGTACATGCAGGTGGTTCTTTACTCATTACACGACAAGTAGAACTCAATGCTTTCCTACTATTAAATTGTACTACAGAAGCTTTCACGCGCGTTTGATAAGAGCCTCTCCTCGCAAAATGTATACGTTTACCGCCAATAAATTTACTAATAATTTTATTGCAACTTTCCACGGAATTACTAGTAAATTGATATAATAAACTATTAGCATTGTCTATAACGCGTTTCATTGCAATTTCTAATTTTAAAAATAACCCTGCCTTCTGCAATTGGGGCACAAGATTTATTTCACCTTATTTTCGTTCGCCAGTACAAAAATATTGAAGAGAAGCGCAATCTTTATGCTCACCAAATACATGGCTCAATACATTTTGTAAATCTGTTATTAAATCTGCGACTTTTTGCTTCCAGGATGCTTTACTATTGCGGCGATACGTTATAGCCTTTACTACAGCGTTACGAATTTTCATCACGCTGTTCGTAACGATTTTTTTTAATTTTGCGATATTTCTACCACCACTACTACCCGCTTCGCGAATTTTATTACACAGATTGCGGAGAAGATGATTCGTGCATTCAATCTTCTCCACAACAATATTCGGGTACGGTGGAAAATCTCTTAATTTTTTTGCTACATTACTATCTCCGTCACCAATATATCTATCATAAATTAATCCATGCATTTCTAAGCTAAGCCGGAAGCCTTCGAGGATTATATCGTTTTCCATACTTGTTGAGCTTTGATTATTTCCCCAATTTTTAAAACATTTATGTTCTTTCGGTTTTACAGAAAGTTTTGCTGCTTTTGCGCAAATAACGCAATATTTATTTCTAACGCCAACAAATAAAACTTTTTGCGAATAATGTCCCGTAATAATAGCTGCTCCAGATGGAGAATCAAAACTACCGCTGCGGTAGGATCTCTTCATCCACGAGCCGTCTGTTATTACGGGTATATGTGGAACACCATCAATAACATCTTTTTCAATTGTTAAACGTCTTTCCTCTTCTCCAGCCATGCGCATTTCTTCTTCCGCAGCGGCGGCAAAGGCTTCCGACATTTCATTATGAAAACTTATGTACGTTTTATTACTCATGCATGGAACATCCACAGCAGCAAGAAGTTCTTCGAGCTGCTTGTGACCAGTCCCTGTCAATATAGTACCGGCTACGATACCTCTATTGACATCTAATTTTCTGTCGTCTGTCGGTTCACTCCAAAAGCTACTTCTGTAGTGACACATTCGACATTCTACAATAAATTTGATTTTCAGACCGACACGCTTTATTTTAGTTATGACAAGATCAGTGAAACGACATTCATTGATCCAGTGAGCGGACAGTCTCTGCAATTCAGCAAAAACATGTCCGAAATCGACGAAGCATCGTCCACCAATTTATGCAGAACATAATCTTCCAGCGTCAATGTTCCCATGTTCAACATGCAAATCATAATTTTCAATATCTTCGACATTTTCGACATTTTCAACGTCTTTGATATCTTGATGAACGTGTTCGACGTCGTTGACGTCTTTCGACATCTGCGTTATTTTGGACGTTATCAACGTCTTCGACATGTGCGATATCTTGGACGTTTTCAACGTCTTCGACATGTTCGATATCTTGGACGTTTTCAACGTCTTCGACATCTTCGATATCATCCATTATACTGTTTTGCATTCTGAATTCTTTGATTTCACATTCCGTGACATTCGTAATACAATATTCACGAACGTCTGATAGAGATCCCATTGAATCATTATCATTAAAAATATCTTCTATTGATTGACATTTTTGTGTCACGCATGCATCGACAGATTGCAAAAATGTATCCATAGAAGATAATGTTTGCGATGTCGACGTGTCATCATCAACATTTCTCTCATCCACGCATGCATGTAATTGATTACACGTACCTGGAACTTCCGATCTTCCCTCGATAATTCTTTCTTCATTGATGAAATACTTCTTATTCAAAATTTGTCGTGCTAAACGCAGTCTCTTTTTCATAGAGATACGTTTTGCCGACCGAATTTTCCGAATATAAGTATATTTAGACATAATGAGAGTATTATATATAATTTCTCATATGTCTATAAATAATACTAATAAAATTACACTCCAAACAACAGTCAATAATAACAAAACTAAGCGCTAAGAATAAAACACTCCGTACGCTGTACTGTTCTCTAACAGACTGCAGTAAAAACAATATACTCGAGATATATATGTATAATATTATATATATACATGTATAAGTCAACAAACCAATGACGACATAAAAGTTCTTGATTGGTCGCGCGTCGCGCGACTACCGCGACTACCTTTATGTTGGTTGTTGATGGTTGAGTAATGGCGAACCGAGAGCATGGTGAGTAATCGTTTCTTTCATTTATATATATGTATTATGTATTATTATATATGTACATGTACATATGTACATACTAAATACATATTTAGTACATGTAATTTATAAAATGTAATGTAAAGCATTATTTATATACGATATTTAGAATTTCCCATAAACCTAACCCTCAACCTGTCAATTTTTCGATATAGGTATATACTTATATTTATACAAGTGTACACATATAATATTTTGTATGTATTTCATATATTGATACAACATATGAAACATTTTTTTGCAGCAATACCGCTACCGGCCCCGGGACTACCCGTGCCGGTTGATCACGTGCCGAATCAGCCGAATCAGCCAAATGAGAATTATGAGATTGCCGTGCCGCACGGTCTCCTTGCACACGGCCTACCGGTTCGCGGCTCACCTGTGCACGGCCTACAGATGTACGGCCTCCCGGTGCGCGGTGCTACCGCCCAGGCCGCCATGCATTATTATAATGCCTAGCGCACAACATCAAGCTGTAAGTAATTTGTAGAAACATTTTTTATACTAATATAACTAATATAATAATCAAAATTAAAATAATAAAATAATAATTCATATTATTTTTTGTACAGCTGCCTCAGTCGGAGCGAAGAAGACGGTATCGCCAACGCCGCCGCGAGCGACGGCTACAACAGCCGCCGCCACCACCGCCACCCTCATTGCAACCACCTCCGCCACCCTCATTGCAACCACCTTCAGCACCTCAACTAAGAGGCCGGGGAAGAGGTCGGGGAACAGGTCGCGGAGGAGGAAAAGTTTTTGTGTGGAACATATTCTAGCTGGTTACCCGGGGCTTTGCCCGGGCGTCTTTT